GAGGGCCCCGCCATGGAATGCTCCTACTTCGCGATCATGCCCGCCGCGCTGCCATTAGAAGTTTGGTCGGCAATGCCACGTGGGCGCCTTCGAGAAAACATGCGACTGGTCCCGCGTCTTCTGCCAAGTGTGCGATCTGTGGTTTCGAATAGCGCAGGCCCCTCGGTCGCCAGACGTACGGTTGCGACGCTGCGTTCAGTTAGTTCTCCTTGGAGCAGGTGGCCCTCGATAGTGTCCACGAGCGTAGAGCGGAGTTCACGGCCAAAGGGCGTTTCTGAGGACGGCGAGCAGGTCTGGGATTCTGTGGAGCTGCTGCGCGGGCCCCCCCCCCCAGACCCCCGCGAAGCTCAATCCTGTCCCTGGCCAGCTTCACATCTGCACGCGGCGGGACTGAAGCGCTTTGGGGGCGAACCGTCTACGTCGACGGCTCCGGGCAAGCTGGCAGCTGCCCTAAGATCCGAAGGCGTGGATGGGCCGTGGTCGAGGTCGGCCCTGGGGGGGCTGCCCGTCCGCGCCAGGTTCGGGGCGCTTCCTGGTCGGGCCCAGACGGCTCCTCGGGCCGAGCGCCTCGCGATGGTCCAGGGCCCGCTTCCCGCGTGGCGATGATGCCTCGTCGCCCTCTCTGGTGCGAGGCTCGAGGTTTCTGGGCGTGCTCGCCAGTTCTCGGCGGACTTCGAGCCCACGGAGGCTCTCCAGCAGCTGCGCCTCGTCGCCCTCCTGGGCTCGAGGCTTCCGGGCGTGCTCGCCGGTTCTCGGCGGCGTTCGAGCCCAGGGGCGTTTTCCAGCAGCTGCGCCTCGTCGGGAGGCGCGCGGGGGTGCCACGATCGTCCCGAGCGGCAGCCAGAGGCCCGACCGCCTCCCTGCTCCTCCTGCTGATGCCTCCCGAGGCCCCCTCGCGTCGCGAGAGAAGCCGCGGCAGGCCGTGGCTTTTCGATCTTCGGCCTCTGGGGGGCCCCTCGCCCAGTCTTGGGGCCATCAAAGAATGAGAAGCCGGTGGTCCTTGGGAATGGGTCGAGGCCTCCATGGGGGTCGACATGATGAGAACAAATGACGTCGGGGCTGTGGGTGCGTCGCCCTCTCGGGGTCTGACATCTTCTGGCGGTTTCGGTTTTGGGGGGGGCCTCCTGGGAAGCCCTCGTCGCCACGGAAGGTCCGGGAGTAGCGTCATCGGCGCCTTTCAGGAATCTCGAAGTTCGAAATTCAAGGTTTTTGGGCGTTTGCACTACTTCTCGGCGGCTTTCCAGCCCAGGGAGGCTTTCCAGCAGCTGCGCCTCGTCGAGAGGCGTCCAGGGGTGCTGTCCCGAGCGGCTGCTGGAGGCCCGAGCTATCAGGCTCTGGTCGTGATTTTCGCGATGTTGCAATTTTTCGCAATGTCGGTTCTCACGGCCCTTCATCTTCGTGATGCATTGTCCTCCTCCTGCTTCTGATCCTCCTCCTTTTCCTCCTCCTCCTCCTCCACTCCTTTCTTCGTCTCCTCCTCCTCACTCCTGTCCCCTCCCCGATCCTCCTTTCGCCTCCTGCTCCTCCTCTTCCTCCTCCTCCTCTTCCTCATTTGTCTCTCCTCTCTGCCTCTTTGCCTCCATGGAGGTGACCCCCAGGGGAAACCACTCACCACATTACAAATGTCTGTCAGGGGCCGACCACAGCTCATCCGACGGTGGCGCTCCAGTGACACCACCGTGTCGCCATGACAATGTGTGCCTTCTGCTGACCCTTCTTCCTCCTCCTCCCCCTCCTCCTCCTCCTCCTCGCACAAAGGGGGTGCAATCAACCCGTACAGTAAGGACGCATGATAAGGATGCAAGGGCCTTCTCCTCCTCCTCCCTTTCCCCCGCCCTCCCCACGTGGCCGCCTCCGTCTCAATTCCTGCCCCTTCTGAACAACTCCTCCCAGTCGCAAAGCCCCGACGTGTTGGTCGGGCGGGCTGGCCGGTTCGCGTGATGCATTCTGACCATGTGACCATGTGCGATCTTGAAGCTCGCAATCTACATCAGTCTCGAGTGCAAGGGTGGAAAGCGGGTGGCTTCAACACACAGCTCTCGCCACAGCGCTGGGCGCAGCTGCTGTCAGATGTTTCATCAGCTTCAAGGATAGAGGGAAGGGTGGTCAACACAGGGCTCTCGGCTTGGCGCTCCGCCCGTTGGACTTACAAGTCTGCGCTAGCCGCGGGGATGGAGGGAGTGCCGTATTTCGGGATAGGGGCCCTTGCCTTGACAGCACGCGCGCTCATCTCAAACATGTTCCACAACTTAGCGGATGAAGTAGAGATCGTTTTCAGAATGCAGCTCCCGCCTTGGAGCCGCACATCCGTATTCAAGTTTGCAACAGCCACGGGGATGGAGGGAAACTAGTCTTCGACATGAGGTGTTGCTGGCTCCGCGCGCACACGCTTTGAACTTTGGCAGCAAGGTCCGGAATTTGCGTCGGACCACCCGGGCGCCGCGCGGGAGGGGCCGCCGCGGGACGCCGTCCTGGCATCCAGCAGTGGACAACATGCCGACATTTGGAGATCCAGACTCGGGGCGCACGAGGAGTCGACCCCAGGCCCTCTTTCGGGCGGACCTCGCCCCGCCCTGACTGGCTCGAGTCTGCCAGTGGGGGGAGGTTCCGCCAAGTAAGCTTGTTTGGTCGGCAATCTGTGGCCGACTTTTTGGCCCGCCTCGGGGCTGAGCCGCGCGCTGCTGCCGCGTCGCTCAGGCAAGTTGTCAGTGGTGCCTTCGGATCGGTCCAGCTCGCGTTCGATGTTTTGTCGCGGTTCGCCCAGGCTTCCGTTGCGTTGGCCCTCCCGCTCGTTGGCACCCACGGCGAGCCCCGGGGCGTTCTTGTGCTGGCCGGGCCCGAGCTCTGGCATTTAATTTCCCGATCTTTGGTGAATGGAGGTGTAGGATGTGCAGTGTGCATGCTAGGACTCCGTCGTCCCTGTTGCAACTGCGCACGGGAAGCCGCAGGAAAAGTGGCACCTCCCTTCTTAGGCGTGGCAAGCACAGGTTTCGTTCGCTCTGCATGAATTTGAGAGCGCCCCTCACTCCTCGTACGCGGTGCCTGCGGCCATGAATGCTGCTGATCGGGTTCTTTGGTCCTTCCGAGGGTGCCCGGACACCTCTGACCGAGCTGTTCACTGCACGGTTTAGTCTGGTTGGCTAATCTATGCAGCAAGCGGGCAGGGTGTTTTTCTGTGCAACGTGCTCGGCCCATGCGATCCTTCCAAGTGGGAATTTGCGCAGGCTCGATTGCCAATGTAACGGTCGCTCGACACATCCTTCAGCTCGCAGCTCACATGCCACAAGTGTCAAGTATGCTGCCCTGGGAAAGAATCCTCGGACGGGGGCGGACTTCGACGCTGTCTAATGTACTGTGAGGAGTGGTCTGTCGGGTGGCGGTGCCCTACTGATTGGTAGGGGTCGCCGCCGCTAAATTTTCTGATGGCCAACACTCCTTGGTTTTCCTTGCCCTCGCGTGCTTTATGCCGTGAGGGCCCGTCGGCAATGCCGAGTCTTTTGTCGTGGGCTCCTGTCCCTTCGGATCGGTCGCGCACCGTCTGCGCGCCCCCTCTTCGCCCTATTCCTGCTCTTCCTCCTCCTCCTCCTCCTCCTCCAATGACCTCTGTGGAGCTCCCCGGCGGCCGCTTACCCTGAGCCCCACATGTCCGTTCTGTCTCTCTAGAAGGGTCGTGCTGTTCATGGCCTCTTCACCCCTAGCTGTCCCGCAGTTGCACCGGGGGCGCAGGGGCCCTCCGCCGCCGCTGCCGTCGTCGTCGGCGGCGTCGTCGTTCACGTTGCTTCGTTCGTTCATCCGTCGTCGTCGTGCTGTTTGCCGTCCCCGCCGTCGTCGGTCGGCTTCGTCGCCGTCGTCGTCGGTGGCTTTGCTCTTCTCCTGGGCCGCGTGCCCTCTCGCGGGCGTGCGTGGGGCCAACCTAGAATCCGGGAATCCTCTCCCACCACTGGGGGCCGGTAGTGGGTGGGGGGGGGGTTGTACATGGGGGGGGGCAGCGAGGGCTGCAGAAAGGGGGCCCCTGAGGGTGCCATTTATCAAGGGCAGAAAAAACGCCCCTACCCTGGTTTACGAGGCGCTGTGCGCTGAAATTCCTGTGGGCTGACAGGGTAAACCCTGCGTGATGTGCCGCGTCCTGGCGGCTCTAGGCTTTGGGAGTTCCCAGGAGGTTTACAGACCACGCACTTATAACCCAGGGTAGGATCGTTTTTTTTCATCCTTCCAATCTAAGGCCGAAAAAGCAACCTTTCAGGGCCCGAGAAGTGCATTTTTCTTCCCCCTATAAATCGCCCCCCCATTATCAAACAGTGGCGAGGCGTCCTGGCGTGCCTACAGGCCTACCCAGCAATGTTCTAAGAACCTCTTGTGGTTTCCGCGAAATGCTCTCGGAACATGTCTGGCTGGGACTGTCTTGTTCTAACACATCAGGTTGTGTGTTCTAAGATCTTTGTTTTTGTAATTAGAACACTTTCGGATTCCAAGAACATGTCGTGGTAGGCCTATAGGAATGCCGGGACGGTCGGTCTCTGCTCAACATGAAGCGATGCCCAATGAATGTCTCCCAGCATCCCGCTCCCTCCTCTTCGTCCTCCTCCGGCGAGGCGAGGGGGGCCACCGACCCCTCTGAGCTCCGCAGAGTCATGGAAGCACGAGCCCAAGCACTTCAAATTCGACACCGCCATGCGAGCGTTTCTTTATTCATTCTTTTGCCGATCGGCGCCGTTCCCTCGCACCCCCCATCTCCCCCCCCCCGTGGAGTAGATCTTGGCTGTTTTTGGCGCCTGGTTCGAGCAGGTGGAGTCTCCCCCATAGGGCGCACGGTTCCAAACAGTCGCACTAAGCAGAGGTCCGGAGCCAGACCCCCCCTCCCCCCCCCTTCCGCTCCGCGTCGAAGCGCTGAACAAAAGAACGTTCACCATCCAGGCGCCCGCCCGATGGACGTCGATTTCGCCTGGGTGTGTCTTGGGCAGCCTTCGTCAAAACGCTCCTTGGTTGAGCCCTCCTCCGAGGTACGTCGTCGAGGCCAGCTGGGACGGCATCAGCGGCACCGAGAAGACGACGGAGGCCCACGGCGACTCTGCCCCTCCATGCACGCGGGCGGGCGGGCAGCCGGCGGAGCCGTCGAGAGCGAGCCCCGGCCGGGCCAGACAGACCACTTGGCCCCTCCCGCGAGGCGTTGGCGTTGCAACTGTTCCACGGCGGGCGACGTGACCATCACGGATGGATCCGGCTCGAGAAATGTCGGCGGTGATCCCAGGCCCTCTCAGAAGGCTCGGAAGTCCCCTGGCCTTCCGAGACGCTGTTGAAAAGCCTTCCCCGAAGACGCAGGAGACCTCTCAGAAGGCCAGAGGCCTTTTGAGAAGCCCCGCCGCCTTCTGAGATGGTCTTCTCCTTCTCTTATTTCCCTCCCTCTCTCGCCGCCGGAGCCGTTCTGGCCCAGGTGTTTTGGGCTTGGTGCAGCTGTCTTCAGAACGGCGCCGCTGCACCGGGCTAACTTGGCTCGATCCAACCAGTCTGCTCCAGAAGGAGCAAAGTGAACCACGAAGCAAATCCAGGCGCCGCGATGGTGGCGCCGCCCCAGCCAGCGGTGCTCCGCGGCCCAAGGCGGCCGTTTTGGGCATGTGGCAGGTGCTCAGCAGCGGCGAACTGGGCATCGAGAGTTGTATGCGGATGTGGGAATGAAGCGCCACTTCGGATCCGGAAGGCCGCGTGGGATGTGCACAACAAGCTCATCCATGGCACAGGCGGCCAGCCCCCTCCGACGTCGGCGAAACAGAGCAAACATAACCATAATGACACGATCAAGAAGCTGGCGGAGCTTGAGAAGATGCTTCGGGAGCTATGCCTTGGCGGCAAAGGTGGCGGCGGTGCGCCCCCGAAGTCAGCGGCAGAGGCACCACGTCCATGGAGCAAGGCGGTGCCGCCAACAAAGGATACCCTGGAGCCGATCAAGCAAGAGGACGAGGATAAAGTCAAGCGTGAGAAGCTGGCCGCACAGCTCTTGCAGTACGAAACGGCTCTCAAGACTCTCCCTGGTCAGGACGATGATCCCATCCGCGCGGCCACGATCGAGAAGGTCAAGGGCATCAAGGAGCAGCAGCGGGCGCTGCGCACACCTGAGATCGCGCATAGGAGGACGGCTCAGGACTTGCACAAGGCACGCGGTGCTCGAGACACGATGGAGGCAGAGATTGCTGAGAAGACGGAGCAGCTGGCGAAGTTGCAGGAGTCTCTGGCGACGCGCAAGGCGCAGCTGGAGGCAAAGAAGATCGATATCGACACTCTCGATGCGGAGTACAAGCGGACGGCAGCCCTCATCGCAGATGGCAACACGGCAGCTGCGGACGGTGGTGGCGCCAATGACAAGGAAATTAAGCTGAAGGTGCAGCCTGAGGAGACCGAGGACCCCGAGTTACAGGCCTTCTTACAGTCGGAACCGTGGAAGAAGTAGCAGACGATCATCACGGGTAAGGTCAAGGTTGCAGGTGCTGCTTGCAGTGGCAGCGATGATGTTTCAATGCATCAGTCCCCTGAGACAGGCAAAGGAGAGGGAGAGCACAACGAGCCCGTCAAGCGTGCATTTGACGAGCTCTCAGAGGAGGAGACCAAGCTTCTCTTCGAATCCAAGGATGACTACGCGACGTTCCAGGGCAAGCTCAGGGATATGGCCAAGAAGCAGCGTGATTCCTAATGTTGATGAGATGCACTCCGAATTTGCGAACCTACGGGCGTCTGGACTCCCACTTTCTTTGGGTAAGTCGAAAGTGATTCAGAAGCTTGAGTGTCAAGGAGTATACACGTTCGAGTCTTTCAATGCCAATGGTGGTCGTCAAACGTTGAAAGACAAAATCACTCGATCCAAGGCGCACGTGTTGCTGGTGCAAGAGATTGGCTACCACAACGATTCTATTGAGGCATTATACACATGGACAGCTGCTAGGGGATGGAAGATGATGGCACCCCCAGGCATCCCCACGAAAAGTATCACATCGGCAGGAGTGGCGATCCTGGCCCGCAGCGATTTCGGGCTCAGAGCGCACCCCGAACTTCCTCACGAGGTGGTACCTCAACGGCTCCAACATGCAGTTCTAGATATCCCAGGATGGCCAGCGGTATCGGTCATGAATGCGTACCTCAAGGACTCCATAGGCGCCGCGGGGGTCAATGCAGCGCTGCTGGCGCAGATGGGTTCTATTTTCAGTAGGATTACTGGGCCATGTCTTGCAGGAGCCGACTGGAATATGCAAGTTGATGAGTTGGAGACTTCAGAGTTTCCCCGCATGACAAGTGCCACACGATGGCGGCACCGAAGCAGATCACATGCAGAGGGGGAATGGGATCGACAGTCATTGATTACTTCGCGGTGAACGATGTGCTCCTGAGAGGGTACCGTGGAATTGAAGCGGGTATGACGTGGAGCAAGAGACCTCACAGGCCAGTGTTGTTGAATATCGTCGATAACGGAATGAAGGTACAGCACTTTGTGTACACGGTGACGCCGACGCTGCCAGTGGATCAGATTATTGGACCGCGCAAGCAACCGACGGACTGGTCTACAATCAAGGCGTTGGCTCAAGCATGCACGGAGATTGTTATTGATGACAACTATGACGTGGAGGTGGTATGGCTATGCATGCCCAAAGTGTGGGCCAAGTTCGCTGTGCAGGCTGCGAAGGACATCGCCGATGCGACGGGTGCAGATCTTCGTGGGCCAGATGCGTTTGGTTGTAATCTTCGGCATCGATGGGTGGATGTGACGTATCAAGAGCAACCTGAGACCAAGGTTAAAGCTGAGGCCGGAGGTCGGCAGTGGCTTTCGCAATCAATCGGCACCATTCTGCAGTTGTATCAGGGCACGAAGCAGATGGAAGAGTGCTCGGAGGAGATAAGCAGTTTCTTATCAATGGAGTACTGCGGTCAAGGATTAAGTGGACGCCTTGACAGCACGGCGGCTCAAGCCAGAAGCGAGGTTGGAGCCATTCCCATGGATTGCGGTCGCCTGGAACAGTTGCTTAGCGACATATGTGACGATGTGGAGCATGCCCAGAAAGCACTTGGACGAGAAGCTGACCGTCAATGGGCTGGATGGTGCATCGCAGCACCGGCCAAGGGGGCGAGGGCTCTCCACAAGGTGACCAAGGTGAAGGCGATACCTACTCCAGTGGTGGTCAAGCATGGACATTGTTGCTGGCGACCCTGTCACAGTCGCGAAGAAGGAAGTGGGAGACTATAGGAAGCTTCGGGCTGCATCGGACAAAGCGCCCAAAGCATGGGTCCCTGATAGAAGTTCGCGCCCACGACTATCGGCTGCAGAGATTCGGAAAGTGGTCAACACCTTCCCGAAGGGCACGGCATCGTCGTTCGATCACTTTCACCCACGCCATGCGCTGCTGCTCGAGGATTAGGCATTGGATGCTTTATCTATGATATGGCAGCCAGCGGAGGCGATAGGGATGTTGCCCAAGCAGCTGTGCTGGATACATATGTCTACGCTGCCCAAAGCATCGGGAGGCAACATAGTGATCATCCTGTACGCGGGCATGCATCGGACATGGCAACGAGCACGTCGATGGATGATAAGTGGCATTGCTGAGTCGCTCGAGCGCATGTTTTGGGGAGCTGGAAAAGGAAGATCAGCTATCGATTGTGCGTGGCTACAGGCGGCAAGAAGTGAAGCTGATCGTTCTGGTGGTATGCACTCGTGGATGTGGGTGATAGACTGGTCCAAGTGCTACGAGTCAATTCCTCTGCGTGATTTAAGGTACAAGCGTTTGCGAGTTGGCATCCCGACGCGCTGGCTAAAGTTAGTCATCAACACATGGTGCGGACCACGCATCATCAGGAGTGGACGACACCATGCAGTTGAAGCGTTGCATGCAACGAATGGTCTTCCAGCTGGAGATGGAAATGCGGACATTGGTATCAAGATACACGCGGCCTTTGAACTGGACTCTTTCGCATCACGTTGCCCGACAGTAGACTTCCTGAGCTACATTGATGACGGTGCAATTGGAAGCAGCTCGAGAGATATCACCGTCGCGAATGGCACGGCTGTTGAGTCCATGCGGGGGTCCAGGCAGACGTCGGATGAGTTGAACGCGGTGCTCAACTTCGACAAGGTATCGCTGATTGCATCGTCTGTGGGGCTGGGACATGCAATATGTGATGAGCTTGGAGTACCTCGCAGCACATACAAGACTAGCGTCACATATCTGGGAGTGGGCGAGAGCTCGGGAGCCCAGGGGTCTGCTAAGGGAGCCCGCCCTCAGCAGCAGCGTAGGCTTATAAGTGCTAAGCGTAGAATAGGTAAAGTTAGAGGCTTCAAGAAGGGCTTTAGAGGCTGTAGCAAAGAGGCCCCCTTCGTTAAGATATGTCGGTCGGGAGTCTCACCTGCTAGCAGCTTTGGCGTTGAGATAAATGGCCTAAGCCAGAGGGGATGGATTACCCATCAACGGCTCCACAGCAGCGCTACTTCCCCATCGCACGGAGGAGTATCGCTGTCTGCGAAAATGGATTTAACAGGTGACTCCAGTTTTCGTTTAGCAGTGGCACCAGCATTGCAGTGGCGCAGAATGATTTGGTTTGCCACAACCCAACCCGATAGAGCGCTAGCCAGCCGTGCTGAGCTCCTCAGGCTTTGGAAGTCGGCCAGACCTCTCGAGCAGGGACCTTGGAGCCCCTCCCGAGGCCCGTTGAGCCGCGCGGTGCTGGTGCTTTCTAGGGCAGGCTGGGAGGCTGTAGGTCCTCTGGAATGGAAAGATCACAACGGGGTTTCCGTCCAGATAGATGAACACCGCCAACATTGCCTGCAGATCAGCTAGAGATTGGAATTCAGAGAGTCCACGAGCTAGCACTAGCAGCCAAGCTAGGCCACCCTCCTGGACACAGGGCAACTCTGGACCTTATACGGTCCAGAGTGGGCCCAAGGCTCGAGGGTTGAGCACGATGGCCAAGTTTTTGATCAGGAGCTGTGGGCGCAATGGAGCGTGGGCTGCTGATAGAGGTCGCTTGGCGGGGTGCGAGACGGACGGGCGGTGCGCGTGCGGGCAAGTAGACACAGTCCA